GCGGGCTTGTGCTCGCTGTTGTCCACCTCCTCCCGCTGGAGGCTGAGCGTGTCCAGGCTGAGGTGCAGTCGCATGGGCTGCGGCCGTGACTTGCCGTCCGACACCGTCACCATCCCCGTGCGCACCTGTGCAGAGGAATGAGAAGGAACACAATGAAAAGAGGAATAAGTGCAAAAAAAGGATCTTAAAATAAACTGAAGGAAAGTTTTTGACGATGTTTCTTAAGGATGAGCCTTATGGATGAGGATGTTTATCTTCTATACGCAAGAAATTAAAAATATTTTTCCTATACATGTAGAGTGTATCGAAGGTTTTGTTGTATTTTATATCCTTTTTTTATTCCACTAAAATGTGTTTTTTTGAAGTTACATCACTTATCAAACATCGAGGGGCCGCCACTCGCGTAATCCTGTGTACAGATGAGGGTGTAATCCCTATGTAATCCTTATGTAATCCGTGAAATACTTGACCAAATTTTAAACTATCACTCATATCACTAAATTTCATCTTATTGTCCAAATTTAATGGTTTTAGATCCAGAAATTCAACAAAATTAATGTGTAATCTCCCAAAATTCACGCGTAATCCCTGTAATAACGTAATCCTGTATACATCCTAAATTGAAGTGGTGGCCCCCTCGTTAAACATGTTTCAGTTTTAGAACCTCTTACTTTTTCAATGTTGATAACAACAGTAAACCAAAGAAGTCCGTATTTTCCCAAGCGACTCTGAGTTGTGGCCAGCAGCCGACACAATTTCACCCCACCACCCCTTTCCCCTCATTCCACACTCTCACCATCGCTGCAATATGTGACGTTCACAAGAGTTTTTCCCCGACATGAAAGCGAATTTTCATTTCCCAGTTGGGCGCGGGTGTGGCTGTTGTGGGACAAGGGGTGGGGTGGCCATGAGGAGCTAATGGGTGAAGGGATTGCGCCCGCACAGCCCAGCATAGCGCTTCTGTGGATGGGAAAAAAACAGCAAAGTAACACTGCTGGAAAACTGAAGAAGACATTCCACTGAAACAAAGGTGCTGCCTTATGCCTTTTAAAAGACTTATTCAAATAGTGCCTTTACAAAGGCGCTACTGGCCGCCATGGCGCTTTATTAGCAGGTGTGCCCTTGTTTTGTCATTGTCAACACACCTCGTCTACCTGGCACTGTCAAAAGAGATGTCGTTTCTAACAATGGAAACGTGTTTGTTAAAAGTCAAATATGACAAAGGGTACGTTCTCATGCAAATCCTGCCAGGCCGGATTTAATTATGTTCCTAAGACTAGACGAATTGTGTGAAACTTTATAAGTAAGTGACATTCGCACACTTATAGCACGAGTATTAAAACTAAACATTTGTTACAGTGCTGTGTGCAAAGAATTGAAACCGTAAGGTGGAAGTCCCGTTGACGCTTTCCCCCACATCCTGCACCGCCTCCTCTCTCGCACTCCCAGTCAAACTTCCGGCTGCGCGACGCAACCCACCCAACGAGGGTTCTCGCTTCCGGGCGGAGGACACTCTACTTCCGTTTGGCAGTGCGAGCCAGGCGGACCCAGGAAGGGGAGTGGGCGGATGGGGGATGACCAGTACTCAGGGCTACTCTCAATAAAATTAGTGACATCTTCCAAAAAATGAAAGACAAAAATGATACAAACAAAGGACTGTATGGTAGCTAATGCAACCTCTGCTTTGTAATGCAAATAACTTATTCTTCACTTTATTCACGTGTACAAATGGTTAGTAAGGAAAATAATTGTTTGTGAGAATTCCCATGTGCTTGTAAATAAAATGTTGTTGACGGGGGGTGAATTTAAACAACTTTGAAAAAAATATAAATGAGACATAACTATTTTTGATGGGATGACCCGTCAACCAATACCCTGAGGTGTGTTTTGTTCAATCTTAAGTTACTGAGATTAATTTAAGGTGTTCGAATGGGATTTGGAATGAAAAGGTAGTCCAATATGATCAATTTAGATAATTATTCCAACACAGGACAAAGGACACGCACATAGCGTTATGCAAAATTAACACGACACTCTCACAATCATACAAATATCCAAATGCACAGTTCATTTGTCACACAAGCACACACGGCACAAGCTCTTCAAATTCACATCCGTGCTTCTCTGTCTCTCTCTCACTTCCTGGCTTCATTCTGCTGCCGATGGTAAGGGCTCCAACTCTTAGCCTGTTGGGACGCGGGATGTTGAGGGTGGGCTCCGACCCCGTAGTGTCTCCCAAGGCATCTGACCCGGGCTCGTCTCCGGAGGGGTACAGGGAAAAGGGGGTTTCTTGTACGACGAAAGTTATGGGAAGGGATCACCGGGGGGCGGATGGGGAGACAGCACGCGCCACCGAGGCGCCCGCCTCGCTTCTCCGTTGCCTCCCTGCCCCTCCGTGACCCCCGCCAGCTCCAGGCCCCCGGCCTGAGGTTCATGATGACGTCCAACATGAGGGATCTTACTGCGAACTATAACCGCGGCGCAGCCTAACACACAAAACACCACAACACCTCGAGGCTAATGATAAGGCGAGTTTTTGTTAGTTTCTTTATTTTTTGTTGCTGGGGGGGGGGATAAAGGGGCACCCCCCCCCCTCCCCCCGGTCACCTCCTAGGGTAGGCAGGCAGTTTGTTCTACGAAACTCCTGAAAGTAGGCAACCCAAAGCAAATTGCCCCCTCCGTCCGGCGGACTTTAAACCACGACTGATAGTGATGTGCGCAGAAATTTACTGCAGCACTCGTAATGTATGTTTCGTACAATTTTTAAAAGGTGCGTTGCAATTGATCGTATTGCGAAGAAGTCCTTTTTACCATGGCTGAATCTATACAAAAAATGTGTTCCTATTCCAAAAACAAAGTAGTTTGCAAGCTTGCAAAGAACTACTTCGTACTGCAATTCTTCAAAATTGTTTGCAGTTTGAACCTATTCTTTGCAATCGTTTGTTGGGGACACATAAGCTAGTGCGTACCAGTGTCCCTCTTAAATTTTCCAATTTATGAAAAAAAAAATGCTTATTAAACGTTACCTTCCGTGGCACCTAATTGTCCTTGCCCATTTGGTGCGCACTACTTCTACTCATTGAATGTCAATTGGTCAATTATTCATGGAAAGCAAAGTCGAAGACGTTGAAAAGAGCGAGGGGAAAAACAGCGGACTGGAATTGTCAAAAAAAAAGAGGGGGAAGCGATGTGAGCCAGTGGAGGGGAAGGATAGGGGTGCGGGGGAGTTGCGCGCAGCCTCGGGGGAAATAAGGATGATGAATCATTTATTCCGGTCAAGCGACATTCAGAGCGGGGCGCATCGGGCCGCTCCCGCTCACCAGATCAGCCAAACTGCCTCCTCCTCCCCACCGAACCCCCCAACACCCACACACTCTCTCGTGGGACAGGTAGGAAAAAAAACTCCTGCCCCCAACACGAGGGGTATCTGTGGAACTGTGTCCAGAGTGGAAGGCAAAATTGCTGTCATCTGTTGTTGCCCTTGCACCCAGAAAACGGTTCCGTTGATTCAATGGAAAGAAAATACGCCTGAATTTTTATCTTGACTCAATGAGATTTTACTGATTCAAGGGGAAAATTCCCATAAGGCAATGGAAAACCGCTTAAAGTTCATTCTCCATGAATTTCATGAAACCATATTCTGTGTACGTGACGTGCGTGGTGGTGTGTGGCGCACTTTATATTTAAATTACGCTGAAATTTATAAAATATCGGAAACAGGACAGTTTTGGCTCAGTATTTAACTGAGCTATAGCCGGAGGCAATGACAGGCAAATCTGCGTACAACTCATGCTGACCCTCGCGGTGACTTCAGTCGACACGGTGGGGATCGAGGTTACTTTCACCACGGTGAGAACCAAAGTTTCCGTGGCTAAGGTTTGCGACGATGGGTATGTCGGCCTGTGTGTTGCACTTGTGGCACCACGAGCACGTCTCCGGCGCCGAGCGCTGCCGCCCCCGGGTCACCCCCGCCCCGCTGCGCCCCGGGAGAGTGGGAGGCGGGCAAGTCTATCGATCCTGCTGCTGCTGCTCGTCGCGGCCTTGGGGCCGGCGGGGCCTCTGGGTCCGCCCTGCCCCTGCTCGAGGACCTCAGCACCCTGACCAACCGCAAGCTTGCGGGGATGAGAACCCAACGTGGCCACACAAAACACACATGGGTCTGCGCCATTAGGGCGTTTCACTTTGAAAAAAAAATTTCGATGGAATCCGGCGCCACCCCAGAGTCGATTCTTTATCGAAAATAAGTTTATACCATTTTTTTGGTTTTGCCAAATTCTCAAAATTAGGGAGTGCGCCGGTCCCTCAAAGTTCAGCTTTTCGAAAGTTCTCTTTAGCACATTGTAACTTTGTCAAAAATTGGCCGATTTGCGCCGTTCAAAGCTCTAAACGCTTCTTCTGATTAGTACGGTTCAGAATATACCCGAGAACACCCGATCTGATTACTTTTGTGGCTCCTAGAGGGAAATAAAAGCATGAAACACGCTAAAATCAGCAATTTGGTGCTATTTTTCGACATTTTCGTGAGCAATATCGGGTGTACAGGGTGATGTATGGTCAGGTAGTGTGTTCTTCATGTCTGCGGACTGCCACTGTGTGATTTGATGGTTTGCCGAACTTCCAGGAGCTGCTAAATATTATTTTTCGAACTAATGCTCGAGTGTCAAGTTCACCTAAGACTTTTTTGCGGCACAAAACAAGTGTGTTGTTGCATCCGACGTGTCCTTGTATGACAGCTTATTTTCGCGCTACGATTTATTTTATAAAACAGATGTTCTGACTCAATCTTTTGGTTTTTTTTTGCGTTTTGGGTCGTGTCGAAAGGTTGGTACGGTTTGCTTTTCTATATTAACATGTAATCTACTATTGTTTGCAGGAGCAGATATATCTACTTGTCTCATCTCATTTCGTGTTAGGTCTATAAAATTTCTTTAGGCACACCTAGAGGTAATTATTTTTTTATTGCCGTCTTTCTTCAAGTAATTTCTACCTACGCAGCATTTCATTGTGTTTTAATCTTGTTGCAGATACTTGTTTCTTTTACTAGTAAGATTGGCCAGCATGTATCTTTTAGGGGAACCATCCACTAGTTTGGTGCCTGCCGAAAGAACTGCAAAGGGTAAGAAAGTCCCATCTCTTAAGGATTCGTTACGGTACTTGCAGTATCTACTGAAGTCGGATTCAGAGGGTCCGGAAAGGCGTACAAAGGATGAATGTTTATCTTTAGTTGTTGCTGAAGCCAGACAGGTTTGGACAAGCATTGGGTTTTCTGACCAGACGCTTATAGATAGTCATAAGGCAAAAGCAAAACTCGACAAGTTCCATTTAAGATATCTGACTCTCTGTAAAAGCAAACTTAAGACATCAGAACACCAGAGACGTACAGAGACCGAGTTCAGCAAAGAGCTAGACAGCATCTTTGACATAGCTAAACAATCAACAGAAGACACTTTACCAACTATTGTAAAACAATTTCTACTGGACGCTCGTAAGACTCCTACGACACTATTCAAGAGTGTTTTAGAAAGTACACCAACTACAAGCAATAATCGGGAAAGACACCCTGTACAGCCTTTAGAGGACCATTTAACGCCACTACCGAGCACTAGTTCCGGGGGTATGACCCTGAGGCCAAGGAGTCTTGTTTTTCAAACCATGTGTACAGATAGCTCTGATAGTACTTGCCCTTCTGAAAAGACATCTGGATCAAGCAGCAGTGCCCCCCCAAAAAAGAAGCAAAATGTTTCGCCGATGGTACCAACTTTGGATAGGGTAAAAACGAGTCATAGAGGTGCTGCTCATATTTTGCGCACCGCTCTAGCTACCGCTAATACTCAAGAGAATGTACCTTCAACTAGTTTATCAACTGTCTACAGAATAAGGGTGAAAACTCGAAGCAAAATTGCCAAGGCAATAATGACAGATTTCGTGCCACCAGAACAACTCACAGTGCATTTCGATTCTAAGAAAATGAAAAATTTGACAAACACCCATGATATTGAAAGGTTTCCTGTTCTTGTGACCGGGCCAGCTTCCACTGACCAGTTGCTTGGCGCTCCAGCATTAAAATCCGGTCGAGGTGAAGATCAGGCAACTGCAGTTCATAAATTACTGGTGCAATGGGGTATTGCATCACAGGTAAGATTTAGACTATTTAATGAGTCCTTTGTTTTGTTATACTATTTAGTAATAAATTTATTTTATTATTAGGTAAAGTGTGTCTCTGGTGACACCACCAACTCAGTGAGTGGGTGGAGGAAGGGTGCGATCCACTACTTAGAAGCGAAACTCGAAAAAGACCTGCTGTACCTAGCTTGCCGGAGGCATGTCTATGAAACATTGCTAGAGGGAGTAGCTGTTTTGAGTACCGGCCCTTCACAGTCTCCTGAGGTCGCTTTATTCAAAAAGTTCAAGGACTTTTGGCCAAAATTAGACATGACTTCCTACCAGGATGGGCCATCAGATGAAAATGTCTGGGCAGCAATAGAGCCAACCCGGCAAGACATCATTAATTTTGCAAACAACCAGCTACAGGTAAATATTTTTGTTTTAGTTTTTTGTTTTGCTAGCTGCATAGACTTAGAAATTAAAAATATTTCTTGCTACAGGAATTTCAGCCAAGGGATGATTACAGAGAATTGCTTCATCTGACATTGCTCTTTTCTGGCGAAATACCTGAAGGAGGGGCCAAATTTACAAAACCAGGCGCCCTTAGCAAGGCAAGATGGATGATGTATCTTATATATGCATTCAAGACCTGGATGTTTAGAGGCCAGTTTCCACTGACAGCAGATCAAGAGACTGGACTCAGGCAGTTGTGCATTTTTGGAGTCAACGTTTACATTAAACGTTGGTTTAGTGCGTCAACTATTGCAGCGATCAGTCCAAGAGAAGATCTGAATCTCCTTAAGGAATTGCGTTTATTGGCGAAAGTAAGTCAATACCAAAGACATATCTGCACATTCCAAGTTTAATTTTCCTTCTGTTTCATTAACTAATACCATTTCGATGATTTTATTCACAGGGAGGATCTCTTCAGGCAGAGGCAGCTGCTGCTCTGCACAAGCTTGAGGGAGCTTTGTGGTACCTTTCCGACCGGCTAATACCCCTGGCGCTCTTTGACGACCAAGTACCAAACGACGAAAAGGACCTCATCGCGAAAGCGATCTTAGAACCACAACATCAACCAAGTAAGAAAAATCATCGTTGGCGTAGAAGTCCGAAAGACATCGAAGAAACCACCCAACTGGCAGACCTAATCACAACTGATTCAAAGAGTTTTTTTGAAACTTTGAGCTTGTCATCAGATTTTCTCCATAGCCCTGCTAGTGAATGGAAAGATACAAGGACCTTTACTGCTGCTAAAGACGTTGTAGATAGTTTAAAAGTCACGAATGAAATTGCTGAGAGGGGAGTAGCCCTTTCAAAAGACTACAGTCCTATGTGCAAGATTGAAGAAAACTATCAAAATCTGTTGCTCGTGGTAGACTTAGATAGGAAATTAAACAAGTTATAAAGGAAGGAGCTGTATATT